GTGTCAGCCTGTTGTGTTCTTCACAACATTGTGCAGAGCAAGGAAGAGGCCTTCCTACTAGGATGGGAGGCAGAGGCCGGCCAGGAAGGACGGGCCTTTGAGCAGCCACATACAACCTATCAGGTGGGGGTGCACATCCGGGAGGCTCTGAGGGAGAGTTTCTCTGACAGACCCCACTAACTCTCCCCAGGGCCTCCCCCCAGAGGCCTGTGACTTGCCCCTCTATACCTTCCCCAGAAAAACCCCTCCCTTCCCCCCTTTCCAGTAGTCTCAATAAAAAGACCAGTTTTGTGTTTTAAAAACAATTGTGTATGTTTTTTCCTCAGTAAAAGTAACTGGGGAAGGAAGGGTGGGGCTGAAAACCTGGGTTGGTGACCAGATGCTCCAATTTTATAGGGACACTCTCAATAGGTGCTTAATACCTGCCATACTTTGTCCCAGTTTTTCATATTTGCTATCTAGTCACCTAGCTGCAACTGAAAAGGTGGCTGTGGACATCTCCCAACTTCGCAGAATATTTCAGTAACCCATATAGCATTGCTTCATAGCTTCACATACAATGATAGTACATACAATTTACCAGGATATTAATGTTCAACAGATTGAGACTTTAAAAACTGTACATCACATGGCTTTTTGTCCAAAACATGTCATCATCATATCACCATGTTGAACATAGGGATTCCAGAGTGATACTGTCTTACTGAGTGTACTCCGAGTTGGTTGATCCGAGTGGAGACAGTTTATGAGCATGTGACCGGTACTTGTGTTCCTGCTGTCTCCAGAACTGGTATAACACCCCCCCCTCCCCACCATCATCCCTATCCTAATTGATTTCTTAGTTGTCCTTATTGCTTATCAAGTGACAGTGGTTAAAAAGTTACTAAGTTAGTTTATAAATAGTTGTGGTTTAGGTTTTTTACTGTTTCCTTGTATAAAGTTGTGTAAATAATCAGCCCTATGGACAATACCAGTGTTAATTCAACTGTTCCTAACCCCTGGGCAGTTATTGGGAATTACTGTGATTTAAAAAAGCCTCGGGGAATTGTTTTGTGTTGTCTGGCAATCTGTTTAATTTTTGTTGATGATTGTCTGGCGCCATCAAAATAAAATCAGTTTGTGCTTTTTAAAGCCCCCAGTTGTGGTCTCATCCTTTCCAGCATCCCTTCGAACCTCGTGTATTACGGGGACTGACAGGTAGGAGAGGCTCAGAACTGGGGCTGGGAGTGGCATGTGGTGGCTGCGTGCCCTGGCCCAGCCCTGCTGGAGCTCTTTGACCTTTGTCCTCACTTGCTCCAGACTGTGCTGGTAGCCCCTCGAGGCCAGGGTCTCGGCCCGCCGGCCATGTATATCAGCATTGCGCCATCTAGAGTGGAGAGCCTGGAGGGTCTCCTCCTAGAAGAGGGCCAGAATCTCTGCCCCAGACCAGGATGGTGCACATCTCTTGTGGCCCCTGGCAGGCTCCTGGGAGCCCTGGGCATGCTCCCTGTGAGGGCCAGTGGGCTCTTGGGGGTGAGGCGGCTTCAGGCTAGGACATAGTGCTCAGATGTGTGGCATCTGGAAGCTCCCAGGGCCAGCTTCTTCACAAAAGCCTTGTCCCAGGTGTCTGCCACTTTAAGAGCTACCGGGAGAGAGGAACTATAGAGTTCTGAGGAGTGTGGACAGAGAGGCCAGCAGGGCACTTGTGTTATGTCCTGGAGGCCTCTTTTTTGACAGAACTCCTTTTTCCACATCCACACCTACCTTTTCCCAAAAAAGCTTTATTCCTGATCGAATGAGGTTTACCACCATTGGAAAAAGCCGTCTGTTCTTTTGACTTTTTGTTGAAATAACACTGTTGCAGTGAATAATGGCCATTATTCCAGAAAAATACTGCAGTGTAGACATACACTATATTGCCTGTTAATTAGGCTGGTGTTAAAGCTATGTTATCTTGCTGAATAAAGTTGGTAGCATGTGCTTTTGCTTTGTCTACACTACACTGCTTTTAGTGGCAAGGCTGTGTTGACACAGCTTTGCCACTAAAAACGTCAGCTTATGTGAATGTTGTTTGTCAGCACTATTGCTGACAATACTTCCACCCACTATGAGGGGTTTTTCTTGCTTTGTTGGCAGGAGAGTGCTCCTTCTGACAAAGCAATGTTCACACTTTCACTTACTATGGCAAAACGTTGTTCATGGGTTGGGCTTTTTTTCCCCAAGGCACCCATGAACAACAAAAGTTTTGCTGATCAAGTGCAAGTGGAGGTGTACTCTTAGAAAGCTCTGCAGATTTGTTTGCCTTTTGAAGAAGTGGTCACAGGGCAGTGCTCTTGTTCATGTTCTGTGAAGTTTGATGGCATAGGAAGGATTCAGAACAGTATAGGTGCAGAGTGGATAAAAATCAATAAAACCAACTTTTATTTTTAATTTTTTAAAATCAATACAAAATTTCTCATTTAAAAACAGTTACAAGTAAATCTCATCACAAACATGCTACACCTACACTTACAGTCTCATAAATATGAATTAATGGTTCCAGTCTGTCCAGCCTAACTACCAGCTCTTCCTTTTTGCAAGTTCTGGGCTTTCAATTTCTGTCTCGCAGCAGAGTAAAGTCACATGTGCAGAGATACACAGGCTGGATAGGATTGTTTTATTCTGTGCTTATGTGGTGGTGGACCTTGGCCAAGCTAAGCAAAGGAGTTAGCAAGACATTGTCTTAAGACAGAGACACAATATGTAGGAAAGGACAGAAGGGGTACATCTAGACAGCAGCACTATTTTGGGATACTTCCAGTATCCCGAAATTCCACGTCTTGACAGCACGCCCGTTATTTAAAAATATTCTGACGTCCCCTTTAAATGTCGTTCCACGAGGATTAAGGGACATTTTGGAAGAGTGTTCTATTTTGAAATACATGCAAAATAAGCTGCGCAATTTATGTAGCTCAAATTGTGTAGCTTATTTCAAGCTACAGGTGCAGTGTAGACGAATCCGAAGCAGCATAGAAAGGAACAATGGAGTGTACCAGAAAGAAAAAGGGAAGACATTATTCAGCACACGCACAGCTCGTTTTGCCACAGCGAAAAATGTCAAGGCTTCTAGTTGTAACAGAGACCCTAGCTGGGAATGTTTTGAAGAAATTCATTCTCCGGGTAAAAGAGGAAAGAAAACATGCCAAGTGTAAGCAGTGCAAGAAGATTCAGGGCCTAGTTTCAATAATGAAACATAAGGGGAAACTGCTTATTGGGAGAAAATCATGTGGATGAAGACATGAATATGGCTGAGTGGGTCAACTAATTAGTAATTTAAATAATTCACTTTGCAATGTATTATTATTCAAGACTCTCCCTCTGCCTTTTAGTACTGTATAAATGTGATTTGACAAGAAAATTCCCAAAATGTTTGCTGTGTTGGATGTTGCTAGGAAGAAAGTTTAATCTAATCCCTATGGCTTGTTTCATTAGTTAACTAGGTTTAGAATCTATTACCCAAGTATACAGTACAGAAAGCTGCAGTAAGAGAAATCTAGGGTTTTCAGTTGCCACTGAGTGTCATTTTCTTATTTTATATTGCATAACACATGCCCCCTTATTTCAGGCATCATGGTCACAAACCATAATGATGATGTTATAAGTCTATTCCCTATTTTACTTCAACATTCTATACCTGTTTTCTCAAAAGCAGAAGTGCCAGTGAGTTCAATGGGACTTACTCCAAGAGTAATCAATCAATCCTAGCTTTTTTGGTAACTTGATTTAAAATCAATGATTTTTGTTGATTTAAATTAATTCACCTTGCATATGTGAGACTGAAATCATATCATGAGCACAGTGCCTCTCTGTGCTGGGAGGGGAAAAGGCATTTTCCAACACAATCATTGGAACAGCCAAGTGCCTTCTGCAAGTACAACTGCCAAAGCACCTCATGCTTCATTTCCTGCTGCCAAGGAGTAGGCATGGGAATGATTGGGGACATTAGAATGGAAGGGAGGGCACTATAGCAAGAAAGCCTAATTGGAGACGCGGGTTTTGGTTTTAACTTTAAACACTTTGGCTATGTCTATACTGCACTCTAAACAAGATATGCAATTTGTGCTACGCAAATTGCATAGCTTATTTCGAGTTTATTTCAAAATGAAGTGCTATTATGAGACATCCCTAAACCCTTGTGGAATGAAGGTTACCAGGATGCCAAAAAAGCACGCCCGTTATTTCAAAAAATATTTCAAAACATTAACAGGTGACTTGAAGATACGGGGTAGCTATTCCAAAATAACTTTGATATGTAGACATACTCTTTCTGACCAAGGTAACTAATGATTCCTGACAGTTTCCTAGTTCTCATGAACAATATAATATCATGCAAAATAATACTTTATAGCTCAAACATCAGGTAACGATCTCCCATAAGTTTGTCAGTTCAAATTACTGTAATTAATACATTACCTTTTCCTTTACAGTACACTTCTTGGTAGTAGATGTACAGGCCAAACTAGCTAGGAAAGTTGGTTTGAAGTGCAAGACAACAGAACGGGGGTTCTAGTCAGCCACTGGGTCCAATGTCAAATACCTGTGATATTGAGACCAGCCCCACTTCAGTTCCCATTGACTTGAAGGCATGGGATCTGGCCCTGTGAAAGCAAGACCTGAATCACTTTAGAAGCACTTACATTAGCAAAGTGAGGAATTGGAGAGAAGGAGTTCAGGCACCGAGGTACTGTTTTCCAGCACCTCATCACATTTCAAGTGACAAGTTGTTTACATTAGTCATCTTGTCCCATAAGAGTTATACAAAAGAATTCCAGCTTCCAAAAGATAATAATAATAATTTAAAAAAATCAATACGGTATTTTTTGGTTTCATTTATTTGTTTTGTTAAGGCCAAAATAGAGATTAGTAAGGCATAGTTCTGCTACTGGTCTGTCCACTGTAGTTCTGCAGACAAACAATAAAAAAAAAAAAAAAAAAAGGGAGCTACAATTTCTTCAGTCAATGAACCAGGACAAACCCCAAACCACAATAATGTATATTTTATTTAAATTAACAAATCTACACTTTCCCAGACTGCTTACAGCATTTTGTAAAAAGAGAACATAAAAACAAAACACAAAAAACACCAAAAAAAGTTAATACGATCCAAAAACAGTTTCTGGTATGCAAGTGGTACTTAATAGTTTCAGATATAAAAAAAAGACATCTACACCATAACAGACTTGTTAGTGTTTAACACACAAGATTTGGTTTTAAAGCTGAAATGACTAATAAAAATTAAACTTTACAACATGCAATGTTACACTACGTTATAAAAGAAAATGGGGGATGAATTTATTCAAAGTACATAGGTATTGCATAAAAACCTAATGTTAAAGTAATATTAAGGTTGCAGAGTCAAACTCTCAAAAGTCGTGAAATGCCACAATTACTCTGCCCCTTGAGCATGTTTTATGTTACAGTCTTTAATTATATGCTTGCCTGTATTTGTCTCCAGATGACCCCTGCCTCATTATATGAGCACATATTTATTCAGTATCTCTATTCTCCTCATTATGAATCCAGACTTTGACAAATCCATCCAAAAACTGTGCATTAGAAAGAAAATTATTAATTTCCTCCTAGTGCTCTCACAGTGCTTCACACACAAATATATTGATCTTCATATGCACCCTCGAATAGAAGCAGAATTAATTCATTTACAGAAATTAGGGCCAAAATTTTCAGTCCCCCCATTAAATTTCTGGGGCCTCACTTGAGAAGGCTAAGGCCTTGTTTTTAAGAGTGCTGGTAATTTTCACAACACTATGTTTGCAGCACAGTGCCACTTGACTTAAACTGGAGCACTTCGCAATTCTGCAAGTTTGATTCCCAATACCTCCAGGGTTATGTCTACACTCGTGGCTTCTTGCACAAGTATGGCCATTCTTGCACAGGAAACCCGCAGAGGGTCCACACTGCACCTTCCTTCCTTTCCTCTTGCGCAAGGAAATTTACAGGACGGCATGGTAAGAGAGGGTTTCTTGCTTGAGAACTATGCTCTTTTTTAACAGGTGAAAGCCCTCTTGCGCAGGAGCTCTTTCCAAGAGGGCAGTGTGGATGCTCGGCAGGGATTTCTTGCGCAAGAAAACCCTCTGGCTAAAATGGCCATCTGAGCTTTCTTGCGCAAGAGAGCATCCACACTGCCATGGGCGCTCTTGCGCAAAAAGCACAGCTCGCACATGGCAGTGTGGACTTTTTCTTGCGCAAGACTTCTTGCACAAGAACCCTTGTTCAAGATGTTCTTGCGCAAGAAGCCGCCAGTGTAGACATAGCCCAGGTGTGCAGCTAGAAACTGAAGCACACACACATTTAGTGATATGGATGCTATAGACAGCAGTGTCCTTCACTACACATCCCTGATTTATTCCTGCAACAAGTCCAGCCTGTTTCCCTGGATAAGGCATAAAGTGTCTTTGGGGGCAGGAAATAATGTGAGATCATGCAATTAAAATCTGGGTCATGATGTATATGAACAAGGTGGTCATATTAAAATTCCATAGGCAAGCTTAATACTGACATTTCCTAATTTCAGAGTGCTTCACTTTGCAACCCTCACACTAGTGTAATGGAGTTTACTGTGCGCGATTTCCTAGGCTTTAAAAAAAGCCAACTGAAAAATGACTGTGCATGAATCATCGGCAGATTTGGAATCCTTAGATTCACAGCAAAAACCCTCTATGATTTGAACAGTCTTTGTCTTGCTCACCACAGCTCTAGCTCATCTTATTAATCTCCTTCCATCCAGTCATAGTCCCTCCCCTCTGTTCTGCTCGCCCAGAACACACATATCCTAGTCTATTCCCTTCCTCCACTACTGCTACCAGTAGCTCTGTTAACCTAATTTGCAGAGATCTGTGCTTTGGGTCTAAAGGCCTGAAACCTACCAAAGACCCAAATGGGAAGTGAAGGATGTCAATATGGTTAGATGCATAATACAATATTGTATTTTCACTGGCTTTAGGAAATTACACACAAAACCAAATAGTGAAAATCTGCGCTTAATTGAGCACTGTCCATTTTGTGCATTGAACGAGTGTAAACCCCCAGTAATTAAAGACTATCACCCTGCATACACACAAGGGGCCAAACTAAAGTTCTGCAGGCAACATAAATCCTGGCTTTTAACTCTTGAACGTTTCACTTTGTACCTTTAGTGTTCTTTCTGCATGTCTGTGTACGGTATAGCATACATAGCACCTGCCCTCCCCCAAACAGAACTACATCATATTAAAGAGAGTTTACAAAGGTTCTATTTTAGAGTCACTCCTTAGTGAACACACACTATAAATACTGGGCATTTGTAGAGTGAGCTACATCGGACGTCTCCTCAGGGAGCACGTTGTCTCATTCTGTGTACTGTACTTCACTGCGTTTGTCCCAAGCGAGGTGTTCCAGGAGTTACTCCTGAGCCTCCTTGCGAGACAGCTTGTAAACCTCAGTTGGCCCATCCACGTGGGTGATTGTGGTGGTCAGCTGAAGTGCCTCCCCGCTACTTACGCCCACGTCACCTGAAATAGAAAGTCAGGTTTTAGCCTGATACTACAACAAGGAGTGGGAACTAGAGCGTGACCTTCAGGTTAAAATTCCCCTAACATTTTGGAAGTGATAAGTTTTTCCAAAACTGAGGACTAAGAAGGATTTCCAGGATTCCTTGAATTCAGATTGATTTGAAGAGGAGAATGTTGCCTTGCCTAGTTTTCAGTCCAGACACGCAATTATAGGAGCTAATACTGGAGCGCCACTGTGCTACTAAAGCACATGAAAAGGGAAACCAACCCTAAATTCAGGAAACAAACTACAAACGAAACCTCTCTAACCTGGAACAGTCTGGTCTGGCAACATCCAGGGTCTGGTATGATTTTAGTTAGCCAAATGTCCACTTATCATGGGTGTGGCCAAATTTCCCACAGACCCATAAAATTTGTTTATAGGCATCAGCCCTGGCTCTCCTTGTTCAGTTCAGTTATTTAGCACTAGTTTACCCCTTAATGTCTTTTCAGAAGCCAGCAAGCAGTGGAAGTGTTGGCAATGCTGCTAGGCAATATTGACCTCCCATGGTCTGGTAAATTCTCTTGTTTGGCACCGATCAGGTCAAGGGTGCCAGACTAGAGAGGTTCAACCTGCATTTAGTTCCGTTCCTCAGTCTTCTATCTTTTCCTCATTCTTCCTCCCCAGCTATGCAATGCTGTCCCCAAGCCCTTTCAACATCGTATTTATATGCAATTAATTTAAAGCCACATCAAAAACCAAGTTTACCATTGGACTGATCTTCACCATAATTCTTGTGTGATGGAGCATATAGGAACATAAGAGCAAAGACATAGAGGTTCCACATCCCATAGATGCCTGTGAAGAAGGCACTGTTCACTTGTACTTCGAAGTCCCCCCATTTCCAGTGGCCTTCAGTCACCTGTCCATAAGAAAGCAGAGATTCAATAGGGACAGATAAGAAAGGAGAATTCTCATATGACGAGCAAGAATCTGGAAAGCAAATACGTTTCTAAAAGCCGCTACAGAGAAATCTGAAATTAAGACAGAAGAAAATTCACGGACAATTCGTGTCCAAACAACACATGGAAGTAAAGCCTATACAAAAAAGTATTTTCCCCTGCTACCAATTTATAAGGATTGGCACATGCACAAGATTCAAGTTAGACCATTCCAGTCATACAAGATTTTAGTGAGGCTAAGTATTTCAAGCAGTACCTGGGAAACTAGCTAAGTCTGAACACTTTAGCAGGCCTATAAATAAACCTTTTATAGAAGAAAGCAGCATGAATAATGCAAAGAACTAATGGCATCCAGCACATCTCACTGCTTCAGTCTTATGGCAGAGACCTAGAGCTCATAGTATTAGATCCTGATATGAAGAATCAGACACAAGACTCTATGGAGAATTAAGAAACAGTCTGTAATTTAATATTAACCTTTTGAAAACAAAATAAAAGGTCTTCCATTTTAAAAGCCAAATTAGCAAGTCATTTGGGGCCATAGCATACCATCGGCTTGGAAGCAAAATTCCACAAACAACAAGTTCTGCTTCCCCCACCCAAAAAAAGGATCAGTGGCAGAACATAGTCTTTAAACAAACAAAAATACCAAACTTCACAAGAGTAGCCAGACAAAACGAATTGCCAAATTTGGGTAGAACTTCAAGCCAATTGCTTCAACTGAATAGTAGTTTTAAATAGGACTCATCTTACCAGAATTAAAAAACAAAAACAAAAAAAACCCAACAACCCTAAATAAAGAACTAGATAAATCATGGAAGATAGGTCAATCATTGGCTATTAGCAAGAATAGGCAGGGATAGTGATCCTTGTCTCTGTTTTCCAGAAGCTGGGAATGAAAGACAGAGGGTGCATCACTTGGGGTATGTCTACACTACAAAGTTAATTCGAACTAACAGACGTTAGTTCAAATTAACTTTGATAGGCGCTACACTAGCGCTCCGCTAGTTCAAACTTAATTCGAACTAGGTAAACCTCATTCTACGAGGACTAACGCCTAGTTCGAATTAGCTAGTTTGAATTAAGGGCTGTGTAGCCACTTAATTCGAACTAGTGGGAGGCTAACCCTTCCCAGCTTGCCCTGGTGGCCACTCTGGCCAACACCAGGCAAACTCTATTGCCCCCCTCCTGGCCCCGGAGCCCTTAAAGGGCCACGAGCTAGCTACACAGTTTGTGCCAGTTGCAAGCCTCCAGCACCCAGCCAGCAGACCCTGCACCTGGCACTCCATGAGCCAGCCACCCGATGCCGCCCAGCCCTCCCCCTCTTCCCGGGACTAGCCTGGCGGCTCCCAGGAGCCTGCCCGGGGCCGCAAGAGGCGGGCGCCCACTTGGTCTAGTGCAGAGATCATGGACTTCATCGAGGTTTGGGGGGAAGCCTCCAATGTCCACGATCTCCGCACTAGCCACAGGAACACAGCTGTCTACGGCCGCATGGCTGGCAGCCTGGCCGCCAGAGGCCACCAGCGGACCCGGGAGCAGGTCCGCTGTAAAATAAAGGACCTGCGGCAGTCCTACTCCCGGGCCTGCCTGCCAGGGGCCGACCTGGAGGCCTGCCCCCACTTTCACGCCCTGGACCGCATCCTGGGGGCTCATGCCGTCCATGCCCCCCGGGTGGTCATCGACCCCGGGGCAGAGGGACCCGTCCTGGACACCGAGGAGGAGCCGGAGGACGCCGTGAGCCAGGAGCCTGCCCAGGACCCAGGACCCCCGAGAAACACCACAGACAACATCACCTGTGTCGTCCGAGGCCGGGGAGGCCTCCACATGCGAGTACCATCATGCTCCCCTTATGTGTACGGGTGGGTGGGGGGGAAGAGGGAGCCCAGGGACCTTGTGCCTGGGCCTTGCCCACCATGGAGCAGCAGCTAGGTGTCATGCAGGGGCCTTGGCCTTGCAGAGGGGGGCTGAGTTTCACCCACCTTGTCCCCAGGGAGAACTGACCGCTGCTCTTGTTTCACCACAGCCGCAGCACCTGGGACTGCAAGGCGCACCACCCCACCTGCAACA